GCCGAGCCGTGGGGAAAAGGTCCCGGTCTGCTGCCACCGGCTGCTGCACCTGCAGGCTTCTCTCCGGACCTTCAGTCTGTGAAGATATTCAAGGAGCCGGCCTCCACGCGGAGGATTATGTTACTGAGACCCGAAGCCCCCCGGTGAACATGACCTGGAGTTACATCATAATTGTTTCTCTGTAATGAGTCAGCAGAGCGAACGCTTGTTTTCCTGCTGCTCGGCGACCCCGAACATTTCCGAGACGGTGGATGCACTTATGAAATAGATATTTTACAGGTCTGTTCAATTTCATAGCTGTTCCTTTCTTAATGTGATTTTCCCGCAAAGATTTTTTTAGGCAGGCTTTTTAGGGAAAGAGAGTGGGAAAGAAATACATACCGAGACCAAAGTGAGCCACTGGCTCCATCTCGCACAAGTACCCTGATCCTCCATCTATAACGCGCATGTGAGGGCCGTTTCGCTTGGTGTAGACTATCACCTTTGCCCCACGCGCAAAAGCCCCAAACTGTGTGCGTGGAATCACACGCAGCCATTTATTAGATGAGCCCTGTAATGAGAAACCAACAACTAATAACTCCATGTCAGAACAGCACTTTCAGTTGATAAACTTTAACCAGAAATGCAAAATACTCTTTTTAGGATGACCATACATCCTCTTTTTGTTTATGCCCTGGTCTGGAATTGCTTTCGGCTTTGTTTTCATACTTGATGAAGGTAATGACTGAAAAGCAGTTCGACCAGTTGCGTTCAGGCATTGTACATAATCAACCAGTAGTGGTGTGTGAGAAGGTGGGATCTACAGAAAACTGTCAAAGCAATGCAATTATGCAAACATATAATATATGAAGACTGCAGAGAGCACGTCAATAGGAAAATGAAGCCAAAACCTTGACATTTTAGGAATTCTGAATTCTGGGAAAAGAGGAAGCATGGTCACCCTACTGTTTCTAAGCTATCATGATGCATGCCTAAAAATTGCAAATTAGATCTATTAATTAATTCATTTTCTTCTAGACAGCAATGAGATTAAAAGGAGAGCAAATGGACTTTTTACCACTGAGAAATAATTCCAAGATAATTCGCCAAATGTATGAAATTTTGAAATTAACTCAATATTATTTCTTCAAATTCTTCCTAAACCATATTATCTGATCTATGCTATCCACATTCATGTTATACTGTAATTCTTTATGTTTTTGTTTTATTTCTAATAATCCTTGCAACGTGGAGGTACTATTTTCTTTAAGACTTCCGATTTATTAAGCTGCCATTAGTAATAACTAGAAAAACATCAAAGTTAATTATATGGTAAAACTATTTGCTCTACAAACCAGTGTGTTTATGATTATGATAATAAATTAGAATAATATATAATTCCAGTTAGTAGTATAAGCAGCATAAAGGACTGTTTTTGTACAGGTAAAATAACTGGAAGCGAATGACACCGGAAGCAGCACGCATTCAAGTTACAAATGACCACGGCAGATTCTACATTATACAGTTGTATCATTTGTGAATACCGCACTTTTACTTCTCTTAAGGAATTGCAGGAGAAAAATAAATAAATCATTTGAGATGAAGTTGATACTAAAACCATGTGTAACTTATTTCTCCATGAAACCTTTAGTATTTTGCCTAAAAGTGGCTGACAGGTCTAAAACACGTCCTCACCTGAGTGACTCGATACACCGAGATGGGTTGAGCTGCACTTTCCCCGTGCGTCACCAGAAGATCCAACTGTCCATCTCCATCAAAATCAGTCACAGCTGCTCCTGAAATACAGGTCATTCTACTCAGACACAGCTGTAACAATTGTTGTTTCTGGTTCTCAACATTAATACCAGAAAAAAAAAA